GGGAAGCATAGTTCCCCAGTATAACTGTGCCTGATTTCAAGCAGAAATGGTGTTCTATTACAATTTAATCTGGGTCTAGCTAACAAAAGAGTCAGAAAGCATTATTAACCTTGGTATTAACAAAGTAGTCAGTTACCACTGCCTTGTAAATATACACCTTCATTTTTCCACCAAAGTAAATGATCAACAGCATGACAGGAAACAACAAAACAGAGTAAAACCCTTGATCTATTATTAGCTAAATGCAGTCTGGTAGAAAGTGGTATGATTAACGTATCAGAGACAGTATTGTCTCTTTCAAAGTAATTACCTTGGAAGGACAATACTAACACTATCACTATTTCTTTGAAATTTCTATGTTACAAAGATCTTCAGAGGTCGTGACACTTTTTTTTTTTTTTTTTTTGTTTTTTTTTTTTTTTTTTTGAGAAGAGTCTCACTGAGCTACCCAGCCCAGCCTCAATCTTGCAATCTTCCTGCTTCAGTCTCCTGAGCAGCTGGGATTAAGGTGTGGGCCATTATCCCCAAGCTAGGAAAGCTCGTTTACAGGTTAAGTTTAAGTTCCTTCACTAGTACTATAAGCTCTATTCTGTACAGCATATGAAGAGGAAGAGTCCTGGACCATCTACAGAAGAGCCAGCAGGTGCACAAACTCCATACACAGAGATCAGCATCGGGACAAAAGTGACGGGGCTGCCTTCTCTGCCAGGAGGAGAGGCCGTGCGAGAGGGCCACCTCCTAGAGGCGAAACCTCAGGGACTTCTGCAAGAAAGGACAACATTCCGATGCTAACCCATAGTAAGAGCTGTCCACAGGAAGAGGAAAGGATGGAAGACCACGAGAAGGACACAGAAGCAGGCAAGAGCACGAGAGAGCAGCAAGATGCACGCATTCTGGTGCTGCCACCGCAGAGATCTGGGTAGCAGGAAAGAAGACAGAGAGGCAGATGATGAGTAGTCTATAGCCATGCTAGAACTCAGACCCGTTCTTGGGGTCAGGTGTTACAGACTCAAATGAGCCCCGTAACACAGACAAATGATGCAGGCCAGGCACTGCACACGCTAGCAGAGGGTACCGGAATATGCGTGCACGCTCTGCAGTGGCAGCTGCATGAAGATCATGGGTCAGGTATGCGCAGGCTTTCCCACTTCTCAAGAGAAGCTGAAATCCAGATTATTGCAAGATCACTCTCTGTTCCTAATAACAGAAACAAAACAAAACAAAAACTCTCCAAGGGACGAGTAAATACACCTACACACCAAGTAAGACCCATGGGCTCCCAGTTGAGACTTCTGCTCCCGGTGAAGCAATGCTACTGAGGAGTTCCTAGAGGCAGGTGATGCAGCCAGGTACCAGCTTCTCCACCCAGCCTCCTCTGTTCCTACTCTGAGTCCCCTGTGAGCTTCCAACCTCAGCCTGATGAAGCCTGTATTCTTTAATCCTCCTGTTCCAGTTTGAAAACTGGAGCTTAACAGCTTCCTAGTTGGCATACATTCAACATTTGTGCCATTCTCACCCTCTCTTTCCCCTTCCCCTCATCCCAATTTACGCTCTTGCATGATCTGTACACGCTGTCATCCCCCACTAGACAGTTAACACATCTGAGAGGAAAAACCATGTCAACTGTCTTTGCATCACAGCACTTCTAACACACCGCGACACAGTCCTCTGCCACCGAGTGAGCATCTAATCAATGCTGTTTTAGGGAGAAAAATGTCTCAATAATCACACTGGCCTCAGCAAAATGCTTTAGGCAGGTTTGCCTTGAAACTTATCCAAGGGCACTTGGTTACTGCAGTGCCTAAACAATCTTGCCCACGCAGCCCTGAGCTTGGCATTGCAGGGCTTAAGAGCAGCAATTGCCTAAACCAGGCTCACTCCCAATTATTACTGAAATGTCACATATGAATAACAGTAAGGGACATAAAACATTTACATTCTAATTGATTACACAGGTGAATAGTCATTCTTTCAAGAGTTAATCTAGTCTACTCTCATATACCCGTCTCACCGCACCAGGAAGCCAACTTGCAAGTCCAGATGGGAACCACTAGGTCCCATTCCTGAGTGATGATAATGGTTAGGCCTCTGGAACGGGTACCTGCAAAAATGGTACGCATCATTAAGCTAGAGTAATCCTTGACAGAAACACTCAGCTTAGCCGGGCATGGTGGCGCATGCCTGTAATCCCAGCACTCAGGAGGCTGAGGCAGGAGGATCTTTGCACGTTCGAGATCAGCCTGGGCTACAAAGTAAGCTCAAAGCCAGCCTGAACTGCAGAGCGAGACCCTGTCTCAAAAAAAAAAAAAACAAAAAAAAAAAACAACAAAAAAACCCCCAAAAGGACAGAAACACTCAGCTTACTGAGTTTAGATACCAAGCTTCTCTATTACTAGTGATGATGGAAAGAAGAAGAAGATTAAAAAAGATAGTAAGCACGCAAACCAGGTTGTGACACCTGGGTTAGACATGGTTGGTGACTGCGTCATGAAATAGGCAGAAAAGAAAACAAAGTTTATCTTAATAGTCATATATAAAAGATAAGCTACATGCCGTCTTGCTAGGATGCTTTGGAAATAACAATTTAGTAAACAAGAGCCCATTAAAAATTGCAGAAGATGATACAGGCAACCAGTGACAGGCGCAGAACAATATTCAGAAGAGTGCATTAAGACTTAAGTGGAAAAGAAAAAACAAAATGACCTATAAATCCGAGTTGCTGAGAAGAGGCCGTCTGCTTCACAGTGCCCTTCAAAACCACAGTCACTGACAGACCCCACCATGCCTGGCATCGGGAAGCAATAAGAACGGACAGAGCAGAGAGGACACAAATTCAGAAGGTCACAGCTCTACAGACTAGAACTGTGCTGTCAAGTAAGGTAACTGAAAACAAAACATCACCTTATCAGTTGTAACAGTCGCATTTCAAGTGCTCTGTTGGCACACGTGGCGAATGGCTGGCGCACCGGACAAAGGAGACACAGAACGGCCCTGTCATTTTTCTACTAAACAGAGGTACACTAGACTGAATGCTCCTACTGCCCGATAGGCTGGGTGAGAAATGCAAAACCAAAGCCAAAGGAGTTTTATTTATCAAGCACAGAGATACCCGGGGTTGTCTGTCTGCCTATTTTGGCAAATGTATCATAAATTAGAGACATGCAGGGATGTGAAGAAAGTCTGGACATCTTTATTAGCAAGAATCCCCCTCCCTTCCATCTTTTCTGTTGCTTTTTTGTTTTTGTTTTGTTTTTGGTGTGGGCGGGAATAGCAAGGAAAATACGGTACAGGAGCTGAAACTCCTTGATTTACGAGTCTTAGCTACGTAAACTGCCAAAACAGAACAGATTTTTAGATCCCTCTTCCCCTCACTCTTAAATAAAATATTAAAAGGCAACTGGGACAACAACAAATCCCCACAAGACATGAGAAAAGGGCTTCGAGAAAATTACTAAGAATAAAATGAATGGCTATCTGAAATTACAGTTCCAGGACACCCAAGGAAAGAGCCTCAAATCAAGAATGTTACCAAAAATACCCCGTGGGAACAATTCAACAAGTCTGCATAAATTTTAAAAGTTACCAACTTCTCACAGGGCGAGTGATTTGCTGCTGACAACTTAAAGCACCGACTTCTCATTAAGAGCGGCACACCCCAGTTCAGTTATTTAATTTACAGGCAAATAAAAGCAGCACATAAGTCACCTTCCATCGTAGCATCCCTGGATTTGGATGGTTTGGTCCTCAGGCAGAAGTCACGCTTGATAGCACACAAAAATCAACTATAGCAGTCAGATGCTATTTACTAGCGTGTCCTTGTACACAGTCTTTGAAAGAGTAAGTAAAAATATACTTCTGGATTTAAAGTGCAGTTACAATTATATTCAATAAAAGCAAACTATGATTCACTGAAGAACAGGAAAAAGAAAACCAACAATCTAAGAACACTGGATTCTATTTAAATTCTCATTCTGTCCTTGCTAAAGCATTTATTGCTCCTTTACCACGCTCGCTGTCTTGTACCACACTAAAGAAAATTTGATATTTCAGTGACAGAATCATCTGAATGCACGCTAAAATTTAATCAGTACATAAAAACAAAATTGATAATCCATCTGCTTAAGAAGACCATACACATTTTTGCAAAGTGAGGTGCCAGTACTAGAACACCAGAAAACTTAAAATGTAAGCCGCAGAACCCTTCTTCAAAAATGCATGAGGCTGCATCTCTGCCTGATGATTACAGCCCTGGGAGAGCGGCTATGAGACAATGCTACAGCCGATGCTGTACACAGGATGCGAGAAGCTCAGCCAGCTGCTGCTACAGTTCTTCTGCAGAAAACAACACACAGCTCAGACCTCTATTTTCTGTGCCCAGCGCATTTCCACTGCTATCGAAGTGCCTGTCCAGTGGCAGAGTTATTATCAGAAGTCGCGAAACCTTGCTGTCTGCTCCTGGTTCCCCAGCTGTGCAGTCCTCCTGAAGGTTTGGCTTCCTCTCCTTCACTCTCGGCATTTTGGTATAGAAAAGCCAGCAAAACCCTCAAGCAATGCCCCTGAAAAAGCTGCAGTCTTAAAATCACTCTGTCTAACCAACCCTTTTAAGGAAAAACCCACTTCACTAAAGTAAACAGAAATTGCCCGATGCACCTAAGCAAGGTGTGGAGGTGTTCATGTAAACCCTGATAACTCAAATTTCCTCGTCATGAGGACAGAACCACAGCCACTGTTTTAAGTGAGCACGTGAAAATTAAAGATCTCCAGGCCACAAAAGCAGCTAAGGTCAAAGGTAGCTGACCTGGAGGTTACAAAACCTGCAAAAGTGATTCCCGTTTTGTGCATACACAGCTCTCCGGGGTGTGTAAACACCACCAGCAAGCTGTTAGGTCACCAGCGCTTCCCAGAGCAGGCACCATAAGTAGTTTGTAACATGTTGATATAAACACAGTGGGAAACAGGGATGGGTCCGACTCTGACCAAAGAGTAGAGCTAATGCATACCTTTCGGTCTTCTGGAATTTCCATTCTTTGGCTGTTCATCTTCCTCATTAATGGTGAATAAACCAAGAGGAATTGGCCTTGCATTGGTCTTCTTCAGTCTCTCTTGTCGGATAGCTGTAGCTGATCCAGGCATACCGCTGCTGCTACTTGTTTTTTAATTATTATTATATTAAAAATATATGCTTATGTAATTGCAGCTCCCAGGAAGCTGCCGGTTCATTTGAGCACTTGTAATAGATCCCCTATGGGTAAACAGTGTGCAAACAGCTGACAGATACTACCAGCCACTTGGCAACCGAGGCCCTGCAGTTCCCCCTCACCGAGCAGCCGCCCCCAGCCACATGCACTGTTAAGGACATCCACTCACACTTGCACACACGCACGCATACACCCCTTCCCGCAGAGCCCTGTTATTACAGCCATGCGGGTCCAGATGCCTCCCTCCACTGCCCAACCTGTGCAATCAGATCCCAGCTTCTCCTTGCTGCTGCGGCACTTTTCCCAATCTTCTTCCTCCTCTGCACAGTAAAATATTCCGGCGCACAGCAGAGAAGGGAAAAGACGACACGCTGCCCCCGTGAACAGTTGCCCTGACAACCCTGACATACCCTAATCAAGGAGGGCTGGGAGCTGCTCCATCTCCCGCAGCCAGTGGGCTACTGCCTCCCAGGAACTCACCAGCAGAGGGTTACAGTGGGAGGCCTCTGGGCAGCTCGCTCCCTCGCAGCAGCTGAGGGGCAGGATGGGAGGAAAAACGGAGCTCTGCTTGCACAAGCAGCAGCGGGCTCTTCAGGAAGGACAGGGGCCCGGGGCAGGAAGGCTTTCTTTTCCTTTCTGGGCAGGTCAATCCTAACAATGTTTGCAAGTCCCTGCACAGATGACGGCCAGGCTGGTACTCCCACGCCTGGCACTTCTTGACTTACCACGCTAGAGCGTACATACGCACAGGTTTGGCCGCGCCTGTCACAAGGACCACCAGTGTCACGTCCCCAAGACCCTCCATGAAGACAGGCAGAGGGAGGCCTGGGACTATGCCCACGAGAGTGCCGGGCTCCACGCCACAAAGCAGAGGGGGAACATTTCCTCTGTGAGCTGAGGGGGGATAGCTGCCTCGAGGACACGCAGCACGCTCCCCCAGTCCGACTGGCAGGCATCTCCAGGTGCAATTCTCCACACTTAACCCAACTGCAGTCCTTATTTGGGGCTCTTCCCTCCAAAGCATGCAATCATGAATTTACAATAAACACCATTTTTTTTTTTTTTCCGGTACCCGGGATCAAACTCACGACCTTGTGCTTGCTGGGCAGGCGCTGTGCCACTGAGCTAAATCCCCAGCCCCTGAACACCATTTTTGAAATGCCAGTTGCCAAGGGGGAAAACTGTTTTTGCTTTTTAATCGAAATCCTATCTGCCTAGAAAGTCACATGCAATTCCCTTCCCCTCAGACTACTGTCCTACTTTTTCTCAAAAGTTAAACTTACTTATCGCAGGGGGACCCCTGGAACTCTAAAATATCTCCTCTAACCGCTTGCATGGAACAGTACCTTGGGATAATTCATCTCACCCATCTCAGTGCCTCAGTTTTCTCTGTACGATTGGCGTGATGACATCATTTATCTTACGGGGTTAGGAGTGAGGGTTAAATGAGTTCTGTGCTAGCCGTAAGAAGTGCTTAATAAATGCATGTGTTACTGTATTCCGTAATACACTTGTGTCCATTTTTTACTTTGTCATTATTTTCAAGGCGTTTCCAGCTACTAACTGCATCAAGAAATACTTCTATGTTTTTACCTATTCGTGTTGCCCAGCCCAGGGCAGCGAATGTATTAAATAGTTGGCAAATCCAAGCTGGGGAGAAAAAAAATCTAAATTTTCAGAAATCTTTTCTGCCAAGGGCTGGGGGAATCAATAAAATTCATGTATGTTTATATCCGTGGCTTAAAGAAATACAGGAAATTTCAGATAGAGAATTATTTAGAATTGGGTTTATCTGTGCAGTAGATCTTTGAAATAAAATATAATGGGTCTGAGAGCTGAACGGGCCTGTGAAAGCAGAAGCAGCAGCACCGGCACCACTTTACACGGAAGGTACCTGCGGCCCATAGAGTGAAACTCCCGGCTCATGTCTGCTGTTATTTGGCGTATAATTAAAATTTAGATTAAAAATCGTCCTCCTGGTCCCCTGCTGCTCCATAGTACAAATGTGTGGCCTATACATTTCATAGTCTTATATCCCTGTGAAGGATGTAAACCTTAAATACTCAAGATTTTGTTTATAAAGTAAACTCTAGGTATGACTCATTTCCATAATTTTCGATTTAATAATTTTTCTGAATTAGAGATTACTTTTCCATAGTAAGATGATCAATAAATGCAAGAGAAACATATGTCAATGTCATAAATATATATATATGCATATTTGTGAAATCAAAGTATTTTCAAATCTAGTTTCTTTCCTGTACTTGCAGAGAATCAAGTTAGTGCCTAAATGGCAATTTTTTTTTAAAAAAGGAAGGATAGAAAGCAAAATAAAAACAAAACAAAAATCACACACCAAATAAGCATGATTGAAACTATCTTCCGTAGAGAAAATGAAAATCACTGTCTTGAGCAAATGAGAAATCTCACCTAGAAATGTTCTGCACCCAAATAACAGCTTTTAAACATCAGCCAGCAGCGGAGATCTCCTACACTAAGTTTAACAGAAATACTACGTGAAGAGGAAAAGCTAAAGAAAAGGGGAAGCCTTTCCCTACCTTCCAAACAAAAAAAATGAGATGGCAACATTTTATGAGGTATCCTTACAGGAAAATGAAAAATTTTCCTAATAGTGGCTGCTACAAAGCAAAGTGAGAAGCTGAGATTCAAATGACCTGTGTGTGTCAGCTGTGCATTCCCTTACTTTTGAGGCGGGTCTCAACAGCCTCAAAGGTTTCATGAGAGGGACACGGATGAGACTATTAATTTCACCAAGAGCTCTCTGTGCTACAGGCAAGGCACCCGGTTCCAAGGGAAGCAGGTCACAGACAGAGGACCTCACCAAAGACTAGAACTGAGTCCACCTCCACGACACCCAGCCGATTAACAGTTTTCCTTTTCCGTTACTTTAGTAGAGTTATCTTCTAATGACAAAGATGAGATTCTCGGCATTGTAGTCTGAAGAGTCTTAAGAAATCTGATTTGTATTAAAGTGTGACAATCACCAACATGGCTGCTGCTTATTTTTAAGACTAACCCCTATAGAGGGGGAAATGAAAGCCTGACCATAAAGACCCAAAGTAACCACCACCAAGACACCCACGAGGCAGCATGAGACCAAGTCAAAGAACAGAGCAACGACCCGTCCACGGGGAACACGCTCAGCTGTCTGTGAGACGCCGACCTAGGTGCACTGGAATTGTTACCTTTGTTAGTCACCAAGGCCCTGAGAGGAGTATCACCTGACTGACAGGAAACTGACTCTCAGAGAGATTAAAGTCAAACAGCCAGTTAGGTCACTGAGTCAAGATTACACCAGGGCTGCTTGCTCTAAAGTCAAGAGGGTTTTGTCCTGCTATCTTGTGAATTCTCACTCTGATATCAAATAGTGCTGCGACAGTCACAGCTGTGACCAGTCACGGGGAAGAAAACAGCTCAACATCAAATAATGGCACTCGTGGATTTTATTCTTACTCACGAAGTACACATTTTTCTCTTCATTTAAGACATAAATACATTTGAGACTAGTTTTCTAGATGCTTAAAACTTAATCTCTAATAGAGACAGGAATTCATTCTTATGCAATTCCAGGAACACGGTAGGGGCTACCACTGTTTTTCAGTTCCCCGCTCCTTTTACACTCTGATCTACAATGAAGGTAACTATGGAAAGGGAGATGGCGAGACGTTGAACTGAAATATCCTCCAAAGCAAAATGAGTACTAGTCTGAATTCCTGGACTTTTCCCCAGCACTAATACAACACATTTTTTTTTAGATGTGGCATGACTATCCTCACACGTCACCTGAATCTTACATGGGGCATGTAAACCTCCAATGGGCACTGAAGTTTTTCAATTGTTTTAAATTGAAAAAAATAATAAATGATCTGTTAATGAAGACTTTGTACAGCTGTGAGAGAAGACACTGCCCAGTTCAAAAGGGTAGATTTTACAACTAGACTGGATTTATATTGAAGAAAAAAATGTGCGCTGTATAATCATCAAATGTACTTACATTCAAAGGTAGGGCTGGGGATTTAGCTCAGCGGCAAAGCACCTGCCTGGCAAGCGCAAGGTCATGAGTTCGGTTCCCGGTACCGGAGAAAAACCAAAAAAAAAAAAAAACCAAAGGTAAAAATGCTGCCACTCAGCTACTATGGATAAAACAGTATAACAGGCCCCTGGACAACAGCTGTTCTGCATCTTTGGTCTACAATGAATATATGTCTCCTTGCTCCCCTGCTCTGCCTGGCTGGCTGGAACCTCTGGCCTAGCTCCAACCTGTGAGGGAGATAACTATGAAATAAGGTCAGACTTGCTGTCTTGGAAAGTAAGTTCATGACTTGGGCCTAGCTGTCACAGTGCTACATGAAAGACTAAGCACACACAGACATAGGCATACACACACAGGGTCAAGCTTCTGTTCACATTTTGGCTTTCCATGCTTTTATTCTGTGACCATAAAATTAGAAAACAGCACAGCCCATAGTAAAGCCAAGAAATCTGCCTATCCAGTGAGAACACCTAAAATTTTCCTTCCTAAAAGCCTAGTGAGCTTTAACAAAAACATACGGTAGGGGGTGGGAGCTTGATCTGGGCTATTCAGTGACTACTGCCGAACACAGAAATTATTACTGCTGAATTGAGTTTGCTATCACTGGTAAATTGTAAGCTCTACATACATCTGAGTTATTCACTTGTCAGTCGAGTCCAATAATGCCAAAAGTAGTCTCCAGGTTTTATATTAGAGGAGGTGGTTAATTCTTCAAAACCACTGGATTTCAGTAATCTGTTAAATATTTGGTCTTTCTCCCTGAGATAAGCTACTATTCACCTAGCAGGAGTTTTTTAAATCCACATTTTCATTCAACTTAAAAACCTTGTGGTTTGAAAATGACAAGCCCAGTGGACTCCAACCACTCCTGAAGAACAAGGGTCCCGGCTGGTTCTCTGCCATTTCCATTCTTGACGTTAAAGGGCTCACTCCGTTTCCTAGAATGATGCCACTTACTGGTGGCTTCTGTGATGCCTCTTGCAGCATTATGTGTAGCGTCCAAGAGGCACAAAAAAATACCGACCCTTTGACAAGTAAAGAAAGGGGCAGATTTGCTTTGAGCTTCTTTGTTTAACCACCCTTTGTTAATGGACA